CATCGGCGAAGAGTCAATACGTTGTTTTTATGCTCACGGGTTCATATGACGTATTAGATCTATATTGAAGTACATTTATCTCATATCAACCCGTTGGTGCGATGAAAATTTTTCCATTCGACATCAAAATCATAGGCAAGTCAATGTTCTATTGTTCGTAAACCTCATTATATGATATAAACATCAAATAAGGCATATTTTGTGACGAAAGTGAAATTTTCACAATTAAATATCGCGAGTTGAAAACATTGGTCGAAACAAAGGCCTTTTCCGCTACCCCAGCTAGATAAGATTCCATCAGTGGTACTCTAAATCAATTGCTCGTCGAAAGTTAGGTGCATATGAACCAGCCATAAGTCATTGGAAGTGAGTTTTCAGAACATTTCAGAACTATTCACTTTCAAATGCTATTTTGGCATGAAAAATGTGCTAAACCATGTGTTCTGGTGCGGATGTATCCCTATAATCGACTTTTTCGGGCAAAAACATGAAAGTTGGATCCGATCTATCATTTGAGACAACAAAAACATGAATTTTTCATGGCCGGCCTATTTTGGCTGTATATGCAATCGTGTAGGGCTAGTGTTGGCTTCGAAGAAATTTGATCCTCCTGAAACGTCGATTTCGGCCGATTCCGTAATCAGGATCACCAAAACTACTCCTTGGTACTTATTCGGCTCATGTGCCAACTGAAAAAAAAACACATGTCGGACTGTGTTACTAGCTGCCTCGTAATTTGACTCAGTAATGTCATCTAACCAGGCAATATATATGCAATACTCCATATTTCTGTTCAGAAAATGATTTTTGTTCAGTTTTCAGCACACGAACTGGAGTCATTATTATAATCACCTCAAATTCTCAACGAGATAGCTACTTATTGTCTCTACAATTTTTGAATCGACAACGATTCAAATGCTTTATTTTCTTAATTCGGTCATCCGAATACTACGAGCAAATACTCCAATGAAAAATCCAAAACGCATCGCTTCGAGTGAATGTCAATTTTTTCTTTCCTTCCAAACTATTTTGAAGCGATGAAGAGAGGAACAATTGTCATCTTCCCACTGCCGGGAATCGAGCCACGGATCTTCTGATTGCCGGTCAGATGCTCTATCCATTGAAATCAGAAATCCGAAGGTCCATGGTTCGATTCCCGGGTGGGAAGATGACAATTTTTCCTCTCTTCTTCGCTTCAAAATAGTTTGGAAGGAAAGAAAAAATTGACATTCACTCGAAGCGATGCGTTTTAGATTATCATTGGAGAGCTACTTTTTCTCGTAGTATTCGGATGACCGAATTGAAGCATTTGAATCGTTGTCGATTCAAAAATGGTCAACGCTGTGCCTTCGCATCGTTGTCGCCAACTGGTGTTAGTGTACTACAAACAAAATCTCAAATTAGTGAACAGAAAAGTGAAAAAGTACATATAAAGTGCTTGTAGTTCACTTGCTAGCACCAGTTGGCGCTTCGGAGCTATTTTATATGGAAACTGTCGAAAAAATGAATTCATTTCAAAATAAAAATATTTTTTGGTCAGAGGTTGTGATATGTATGTTCACTACCCTTTCTACAAGCTTATAATGTAAACAGAAAATTGTATAATTTCAAAACAGCATAAGATTCATTTCCCTGTTTTGGGAAAATATTGAATATTTTTAGTTTCAGGAATGAATTTCGACAGTATACCTTTTTCTACATGAATAACCGCAGTGTTGAAAATTGGAAAGTCAATATGTAACTCTCTTGTTTAGAATTTGAATAAATTACACATTTTTGTCATCAAAACGCTGATTTTTGTTTTTTTTTCATGTCAACAGATTTCATAGGCCGTGACGATCAAATCCAGAATCACTTGTAAATGTGTTATGGAAGCTCCAAAATTTGCATCATCATAGCGATTCATTCAGCACCCAAGTTTTCTATGGAAAAGGCAAATTTAAATACACGAATTGTGCTGTGATATACACAATTACACATACTGACGTTTAAAAAATGTTACCTTAAAAAACTGAATTTTGTATGTCACTTTTTTGTTATTCAAAAAGTAATGGAGATAAGATTTTTATTCAGAACCCGAAAAAATACATATATTTCAAAAATTGGTGAGAAGTTGAGATATGTATGTATCCAATACATATTTTCACTACTCTTTCTACAAGCTATATAATGTAAACAGAAAATTGTATAATTTCAAAACAGCATAAGATTCATTTCCCTGATTTGGGAAAATATTGAATATTTTTAGTTTCAGGAATAAATTTCGACAGTATGCCTTTTTCTACACAAATAATAAAACATTGATACTGGCTACATGCGAGGACAATGAACACGCCTTTACCACATGAAAACACATGGATGAGAGTGAGCGCAAAAGGATAGAAAAGAAATAAGAAAACAATGTTTAGAAGTTGTTTTCAAAGTGTAAAACAGTATATTTCATTCCAATAAAATTTGTTTTGAACAATTCACCTCGAAAATGTATGCATTTACTTCAGTGCTTCATTAAAAAAAAGGTATACTGATGTTTCGTTCATTGATTGTGCTTAGTAGGGATTCGAAAAACTTCATAGATTATTCATACACACTGGGGCTGTTTTTCAAATCTGGAAAAGAAAAAATGGTGAGTATCCGTTGAGAGAATAGAAAATTCAGTAACAATTGATGGATTCATACAGCGTTGCGATTGATCACAGATGATGACAGCCCGACAAGTGACGCTCCATAGACTGTGCATTTCAAGCCAAATGTCAAAAATGCCAGTTTTCGCGTCACGACTATATATAAGGGAGACCTGTCTTAAATGGGCCACACTTACAATATCCGAAGTCGATACAAAATGGCAGATACACCAACAAAAGTTATTGAAAGAAAATTGGCAAAATACAATCAAGAAAAGTCATTATTGCTATCAAGACAAGCGTCTTTACGACGGGACGAAAATCCCAACGCAAACACCCGTGATCAAGAGAAAATAAAGAAAGATTTAGAAGCAATCGATAAGCGTTTAAGTGAATTAGATCATAATATAAAGCAAGAAACGTATCAGTTGAATCGTATGAAGGGTATTGAAAATTCGGGTAATAAAGAAGATTTAGAAGCGTTTACCGAAGATACCGATGATATAGAAGCTAAAAAGGGAGCTATTGGAGGGGCAATCCCCAAAAATCTAATGGAATTTGATTTTAATAAAGGCTTTCAAGCTTCACGCACTTTAAGCCGAACTCCACCTCCAACACCTCAAACTACTAAGGAAGTCATTTCAAAACCGAATATTATACCTCAAGATAAAATTAATAGAATTACTTCTACAACTAACTTCTGGGAGCAACCGCCAAATGTCTTTACGACAGCTAGTAACACCTCAACTCCGGTGTACGTACACTAAATCACATGATAATCAAGTAAAAATATTTTCAAGAGAGCAACAGGCCGAAACCGGCGCTGTACGGAAAATCGATATGCAACCAGATACGCAACAAGATTATGATTCAGATGAAGAAATGATGTTGAAAGAGTATAAATATTTTTCGAAACTTGCGGAAAAAAGACGCAACGAAAGACTCAAAACTAGACTCGAGCGTATAGATGAAGATTTTGCTCAAAACAATATGAATAATCCATCTTATGCAGATGTTGATCGGAAATATCATGACGATCGTAGAGATTTCAATCAAAAATATTACGATTTTGAACAACAAAATTACGATCAACAACGTGAAGATCGGCCTAAATTTTACACATATGTGGATACTCCACAACGTTTTCAAGATAGACCACTAATCAAACATATAGATAGTTATGTTCACAATGAACAAGATTTTCTGGACAATCGACGTAGAGTACAATTTTCAGTACCGATCTCTCAAGAACAACGTTTTTCATACGAACCAGACAATTGGGTGAAGAACCACGAAACTTGTTGATAAACATGAGTAATCCATCTTGGGAGGTAATCAAACAAAAGTTGATGAAGCATTATGCATATTTGTCGAACAAGGAAATTTTAACGAGTCAAATGGAAAACTTACGTCAAGAGAAAGACGAATCATTGTCAAAATACGTTGAGCGTATAAGACAACTTCAGAAAGACAGAAATTCGACATATAGCTTTATGTCCGACGATTTACGCAAAGAACATGATCGCATAGCTCGTCGAGCATTCATAAATGGTCTTAGAGACAGTAAATTGCGAAATATTATGACAATCAGAGGCTCAAGTTCTTTGGAGGACGCTATTACCCATGCTCTTGGAGCCGAGAGCGACTCTTTAAGTCAAGTTCCGAGAGGAGAGCTATTCTGCAGGTTCTGTAGGGCATTAGGTCATCGAGAAACTGACTGCAGAAACAAAGATAGTGGTGACAAGAGTCTAAATCCATTAATTTCTGCAATATTTCAAAATAATCAAAGAAATTTTAATCAAAATTCGAACTGGAATCGTAATGCGAATTGGAATCGCAATTCAAATTGGAACCGCAACACAAATTGGAATCGTAACTCAAACTGGAATAATGGTGGCATGAACCGAAATCAGCCGAGAAATAATAACAATGACTTTTGGCGTAATAGAAACAACGGCATGCAATTGTATAATCGAAATTTTGGTAATAACGGACAGGGATATAACAACGGCAATCGTAATTCTAATGGTGGCTATAATAATGGCAATCCTAATTTCAATAATAACAACAATGGTTTCCGAAATGGAAGCATTGATTTCCGAAATTTCAACGGTCAGAATAATCAGAATCGTAATGGTCAGAACAATCGTCCGTTCAACAGGTCAAATAATTTTGCAGGTATTTTTAATCCAGCACAAGTGAACCATCTTCAGTATGAGTAAGGTGACCAGATGTACGGATTTTATCCGTACAGTAAGGAATTTTCGACCATGTTCCGGATTTCTACGGATTTTCCGCTGTGTACGGAATCGTACGGATTTATACGGATTTTTCAAATATTTCCGTATATTTGCAAAATTACGGTAAATTTTAAATATCAAATGTGCAATGATCATTTGATTCACTATCATTTGATTCACTTTTTTCGAAACTGGGGTATTTCTTTTTCAATTCATCGTTGAACACATATCGGCTACGTGACATTTAAAGGAAAAAAAAATTGACAAGCAGAGCAAATCTTCAATTCAAACGGTCGATTCGGTTTCGGAGATTGATCTGACTAATTGCTTCTTACTGACCTATTTATAAGTGCCAATATCCAGGGACAGAAATATCCTCGCGACGGAAATATCCAGGGACGATATTTTGATTCAAAGTATTTATATTGAGAGGAGTCACAATAATTCGGCCAAAACAGCTGGTGTAGCGTCAGCTCACCAGTTTATGATAGAACAAAGCGAAACGAAATGTATTTTTATTCAGACTGCTGAAATTATAAAACTTCCAATATGACAATATGCTGATTTTCGCTTCGTTCTATCAACAAACCTGTGAGTTGTTTAAATTCAACTGAAAAACTGACGCTGACGCTGCATCAGCTGTTTTGGCCGAATTATCGCGACTCCTCTCAATATAAATACTTTGAATCAAAATATCGTCTCTGGATATTTCTGTCGCGAGAATATGCGGCGTATATAATAAATTATTGACTTTTGCATGTACGGATTTTTGTACGGATTTTCGTTGCCAAAGTACGGATTTGTACGGATTTTCCTGTTTGCAGATCTGGTCACCTTAAGTATGAGAATGATTCCGGTAGCCAATTTGAGGAGTCGGAAAACTAGAAAGGATGAGATTGAACGGCCTGCAATTCTCATCCGAAACATCAATAATGACAGTAAATTTCAGAACTTCAGAAAATAGCATATATACATTAAACGCTCTCAAAGACTTTCAAAGCATGTCCAAAAAAGAAGAAGAAAATGAAACAGAAACAGTGAAAATTGAACATGAGATATTTCCGAAAATGGAGCAGCATACATATCATTGAAGTCAAATTTATGTGAAAGGCCATTGAAATTTTTAATTGATACTGGAGCTTCAATTACGCTACTAGCGAATGACGTAATAAAAGAAAATACACATATAATGAATTATATAATCAACTTGTATGGAGTCACAGGCAAAGATATTTCCATCAAAACTGGGGGGATGGTGTTTGGAGTCTTTTCGACTGGTAGTCGAAGCATAGAGACCGCCTTGCATTTAGTGGACAGAAAGTACGCTGGCCCTGGCGATGGATTTATTGGGTTTGACATGTTATCTCGACGCAGCGCCTTGTTGTCAATTCCCATACAAACGAGCCCAGAAGTGACAACTGCTGTTAGCAAGAGTAAATACAGTACAACTTACGTCAAATTCAAAAGCTTGTATACGTATGTATACATGTTTAAGTTGAAAAATCAACGTTCTGGTTTTAAAACGTAAAGTCCGGGAAAGTCAATTTTTTCTCGTGTTTTTGTCAATACAAGAGTAACAAAGCCGATGATAAATGACAAATGATGACACATTGATGTAAATAGTGAAATGCTGTTCGATTCTGAGCCATGAAATAATTTTTTCTTTTAATTTTGAAAATATATCAAGGGATATTAATGACTTCAGTGAAGTCAAGCACGTTTTTATGTTCGTGTGAAAAAACAACCATTCAAAACCGTTCAAAACGATTCAAAACAGTTGATAACAGTATATCCGAGTATATCCAATAACCGGAATATGAAATGTCAACAAATGAAATTACAACTCGATGGAACTTTTTTTAGTCACTCTTGTGTTGACAAAAATACGCAAAAATACGGAAACATTTTTATTTGAAATATTAAAATGAGAAAATTGATTTTTTGCATTGGAATGAACAGTAAAATACGCTTTTTGATTAAAAAAAACATAACATGATTCTCGTGAACAGAACGTAAACAAATGAAGTGACACTTGTTCGTATTTATTCAAAACAGTGAAATTCCTGTATTGTTTTATCGTAAAATTTGATTTTACGTTTAAAAATAAGAAGATTGATTTTCATGCAACAAAATTTACGCTATTTAGTAAAAAAAAATTAAATAGAGCTGGAGAACAGAAAATCGCTCAATAAGCAACTGACACATGTATACATATATATACAAGCTTTTGAATTTGACGTACGTTGTACTGTAGTGACTCTTGCTAACAGCAGTTGGCGTAAGTGCAGAGAAGGCGCTGCGTTGTGTTATCTTCATACAAGTCAATTATTGATATGAATAAAATGAAAATTGAATTTAATATCCGCCAAAAGAAGGGCGATGAATTGAATAAAATTGAAAATAATGAAGAAATTTTGAAAAATGAAGCCCAGAATAATATACGCCAGACGATAATTCCTGGTTTTATTGAAGAAAACATATTTATTGAGAATACAGATGAAATTGGAAAAATTGAAGTTGAAAATTGGCCAAAATCTAAGGAGTCAACAGAGGCTCCATCACACTTTTTTGAGAATTTTGAAGAAAATATGGGCGAAAATTTAATAAAAGAGAATGACAAATATGAGTTCCAAGAATATTTTGAAGCTGCAAATTTTTATAAAGAAAGGTTTAGGACAAGACATGAAATGAAAGTCAATTCGGGTATGCCAATAGCACAACACAGTTACAGTACAAATTATCAGAATATGAACCGATCAGAAATTATAATGAATCAGTTGAAACTTGACAAATTGGCAGACGATGAAAAGAATACTATCAGGAGATTGTGTAAAGAATTTCCATATCAATTTTATCTTGAAGGCGACAAATTGAAATCAACTGATGTCATAAGACACAAAATTAAAATTATTCCCGGTACAAAAATTGTGAATTTGAGACAATATAGAATACCCCATGCACACAAAGAAATAATGGAAAAAATAATAAATGATTTTGAAGAACGTGGGATAATTGAAAAATGTCAATCACAGTATAATTCACCGGCAATTTTAGTTGGGAAAAAAGATGACACGGGTGAGAAAAACGATTTTAGATTTGTGGTCGATTACAGAAAAATCAATGAAATCTCCGAAATTCAGAATTTTCCAATACCTTTAATAGATGATATTATAAATGGTCTTAGTGGTAACTCATATTTTACAACATTGGATATCAAAAATGCATTTCATCAAATTGTTGTGGACCAAGACTCTAGAGATTATACAGCTTTCACCGCTGGTAATTTCCAATATCGATGGATTAGAATGCCGTTTGGATTGGCAAGCGCGCCATTAACTTGGCAAAGAGCCATCAATCGATTTTGGTAGACCTGATAAACAGGGGCGTTTATGTGTACATGGATGATGTCATCATTTATGGAAAAACGAAAGAGCAACATGACGACATCTTGTGGCAGGTGATGAAACAATTGCGCAAACACAACTTGCAGTTGAAAATTTCGAAGTGCATATTTTATGCAAAGGAATTCGAGTATTTGGGTCACATTGTCTCCAGGGACGGAATACGTGCAAATCCACGGAAAATCGAAGTGGTTAAAAATTATCCAATACCCAAAACAATCAAGCAAATCCAGTCGTTTTTGGGACTATGTTCATATTTTCGGCGATACGTGAAAATTTTTTCAAAACTGTCTAAACCTTTGACGACACTCTTGAAGAACGAACAACCGTTCGTTTGGTCACAAGTTCAGCAAAATTCGTTCGATGGTTTGAAAAAAGCACTTTTGGAAGAAGTAGTTCTAGCTTTCCCGAATTTTGAGGAAATATTTTACATAACAACAGACGCATCCAATGTTGCAATTGAAGCTATGTTATCACAAGGGGAATTGCCAAATGATAGACCTATTTATTTCTTCAGTAGGACCTTAAACTAAGCTCAAAAACGATATTCAACAATACAGAAAGAACTGTTAGCGATTGTTGAAGCAATCAAGGCATTTAGAGTCTATGTTTATGGACGATTTTTTGTGTTGATAACGGACCATAAAGCATTGTGTTACTTGTTCAACATGAAGGACTGTGGTTCAAGACTTTTTCGTCAAAAGCTTGAGTTATTGAATTACAATTTCAAAATATTGTACCGTCCGGGTCCGAAAAACACCGTTGCGGATGCATTATCCCGTATTGAACCATTATCTATAGACGAACTCATTGAAATAGAAAATAAGACGGAAGCATTTATGCTTACACGCGGACAGAATGAAAAATTACGTGAAAAATACACGATCGAAGAAAGAGATGGTACTATTTTGAGAAAAAGCAATTTTGATCTGATATTCCATTTTATTCCTTTGAAAAACGATACTTTGAAGGAAAAAATAATGAATAAATTCGGAATTACAAATTTTAAGCCAAATTTCTCAAAATTCAACAAATATCATTACGCATGTGTTTTGTCTAACCAATTTTCAAATAGGCAAAATACTGCGTGCACAGAGGGTCAAATCAGAGAAATTTTGGAAATTTGTAAAGGAGTAAATGCGGAAAATATTGCGTTGAATTTGGATTATGACAACATTCGTCATTATATCTTCTTCAGAAATCTATTCGAAGAAATATTCGCATCGGAAAATATATCTGTAGTATTTTTCCTAAATAAAATTGTGGAATTGACAAAGCAAGAGGATATAGATCAAGTCTTAGATTTATATCACAAATCCTTGCTCGGTGGCCACGTCTCGGGTGAGAAATTATCGAAAATAATTAGCAAATTCTATCGGTTTAAAAATCAAGAGGAACAGATCAGGAAATACGTATCGAAATGTCCAATTTGTGAGAAAAAAAAAGTTACCAGATATATTCGCATGCCAATGCAAATCACTAGTTTGGGAGAATCACTTTATGACCATGTTTTCATCGATTTTGTGGGACCAATTGCGAAAAGCGCCAGGGGAAATAGGTACATCTTTTCAATGACGTGTA